TGCACGAATTTCGTGCACCAGGCCTCTAGTTAGTAACATAATACTTTCCCACTGATATAGTATATTTACATTTAATATACATTCCTAGAACTTTTATAATTCCATTTTTACATTTATCTTTTGAATTCTTCTAGAACTTTTCTTGTTATAAGATAAGATTAGCCCAGCCAGCATGGCTCAGTGGTTGAGCATCGACCTATGAACCAGGTGGTCACGGTTCAATTCTTGGTCAGGGCACATGTGCAGACTTGATCCCCAGTAGGGAGGTGTGCAAGAGGCAGCCGATCAATGATTCTCTCTTATCATTGATGTTTCCATCTCTCTCTCCTTCTCCCTTCCTCTCTGAAATCAATAAAAATACTAGTATATATTAAAAGAATAAAAAGTATTAACACTGTATATTATATTAAGTAAATCTTGTTTTTATTAGAATTTCACCATTTTTTTTCACTGTCTTTTTTTTGTTTAAGGATATAATTTAGAATATCATGTTGCATTTAGTTAAGTTTTAACTTTATTTTTTTTTCAAATCTTTAACTAATTGTCCCAATACTACTGTTACTGATCAATCTGACCTTCTGACCCAAATTATTCAAATTGTTTCAGTTACCCTAACAAGGGCTGCCAAATTTAGCAAATGAAAATGCAAAGGGCCTATTTAAATTCAAATTTCAGATAAAAAACAAGTAATTTTGTTGTTGCCCTCTGCAATATTAGGGACATGCTTCTACTAAAAATGTATTCCTTGATTATCTGAAATCCACATTTAATATTTAACAGGGAGTCTTATACAGGGTAGAGCAAAAGTAGGTTTACAGTTGTAAGTACTCAAAACAGTTTATTCTTGTATTATTATTTATTAATGAACGTCTTATTTTCCATTTAACAATTGTAAACCTACTCTTTCCCTACCTTCTTTTTATCTGACAACTCTATCTCCTTCCATCAGCCACACACAGAAGAGTTGAAAAGTGTGTTTTTTAAATTAAGCTGATTTTCAACATTTTATAAATAAAAATTAGAAATCTTGGATTTGGAATTATATTTTAAGCATTAGCTAACATAACTTCTCAAATTACCAAATGAAAAAACATACTTCTTTCCTCTAGGTTTTAACAGTTCAGAAGTGAAATAGGAATTATTCTAAAACAAATAGAAATGTTACATAATCCCAATTAAAAAACACAGTCAGGATGAGGAAAACACATTGACTTAGCTGTGTTTTGTTTTTTTAATTTACTTTTCTACTTCCCTAGCACAATAAATTGCAGAGATAAATTCTTCACACTTTATAAGTAAATAATAAATACTGGTTACCATTTCATCTTCTTGACCCTGATTGATAGTCTTCCTTTCTTCTTTGTCCATATCTACAGTGATTTAAAAGGTCTTGTACTTCAGAACAGCTGAAGACAACTGAGAGATGAGAGGAACAAATGTTAGGAAATTATTATTTATCCTAGTATACTATATAACTTCATATTATTACATTTCTAGTTGTGACATATGTATCAATGTTTAACTGGTACTTAAGTAACCACTAAAGTGCTAGCTGGTTCTAATGACATTTTCAATGGTGTGCCAGTTCTTGCACCTGCATTACTTACAATCACAAAACGTGGCATATTCCATTAATGAATTTGTACTAGCAACAGCCCTGCTACAAAACAATTTAAATTCTGGGAGAAAATACTACAGAATCTTCCCTTTCATTCTCCAGACTCAGAGACGTAACCTAGTTGTGCCGTAAAAGTGCTTCACACAACTCAATTTATTGGTTGAAGTATAGTGAAGAGGTAAAGCACCAGTAGTGAAACCACCCCAAAACCTCTTAGGGATTAAAGTACCATCCAACAAATGTTTACTAAGCAAGCATCTATTACATGAATGACATTCCCTGGCCACTAGTCAATCCCTATGGCATGTGTACCACTATTGGAGGTCACTCAACTGATTCCCCCGTTCTCATTCCAAAGTCCACTAAGCAATCTTATGACTATTTCTGACTACTCATGATGCTTGTCTAGGAGAAAATTCATTGAGCTCATCAACAAAGTTTTTTCCCCTGTATTAAAAAAAATGAGATTAATTATAAACAGACATTCGGCCACACATTAAAGAGATTTGCAAATTGTAGAACAATGCCTATTTTCTCATGATTTTTTTTGATTATGGCAAATATTTTTCAGAAAAATGTTACTTAATATGTAATAAATGTATTATTGTCACATCTTATTAAACTAATATTCTCAAATCTACATCAGTTTTAACTAACATGGTATCAACAGATACAATGCACATAAACAAAAGCTTTTTAGAGTTCACAATAAACATTAAAGCAGTGGTTCTCAACCTTCCTAATGCTGCGACCCTTTAATACAGTTCCTTATGTTGTGGTGGCCCCCAACCATAAAATTATTTTCATTGCTACTTCTAACTGTAATTTTGCTACTGTTATGAATCATAATGTAAATATCTGATATGCAGGATGTATTTTCATTGTTACAAATTGAACATAATTAAAGCATAGTGATTAATCACAAAAACAATATGTAATTATATATGTGTTTTCCGATGGTCTTAGGCGACCTCTGTGAAAGGGTCGTTCGAGCCCCAAAAGGGTTGCGACCCACAGGTTGAGAACCGCTGCATTAAAGGTTACCAGTCTGAGCCCAAAGCCTTGGAGAGCCACTGCTTTAGACTAGGCTGATGTCTGCAGAACAGCCAATAGGTAATATAACCTCTCAGTCCCAATGCTATGTTTCTACCTCATCTAGCCAGTGTGTAGTACAGGCCTGACACATGGTAGACACTCAAAAATTACTTGTTGAGTGAATAACACTTGTGCTAAGATAGCATTAGCTGTTTAATGTTTATAAATGTTAGGAAATTATTTTTCCTAGTAGACTATATAACTTCATATTATCACATTTCTTGTGATACATGTATCAATGTTTAACTGGTACTTAAGTAATCAAGTAAAATAGCCAAGTAAAACCAACTGCAGCATTTTAAACTAATCCCATATATGACTACTGAAATCTCAACAAAATGACCAATGAAAATATTGATGCCTCCTATACCAGCACCCAGCACTTGTCTACCTACTGGTAGCCCTGGAGATGGGGTCAGAGCTAAGTAGAGCCAGGACTTTCTATAGAAATAAAAGGCAGAATTTTAAGATAGACAGAGATAGATAGATAGATAGATAGATAGATAGATGACTTAGTGCCATCTTGGAAAAGAAACTTTAGAAGTATCTGGTCCAACTTCTCCAAAAGAAGCCATATTATACAAAAAAAAACAAAAAACAAAACCTTTGGGAAATTTAGTAGCAAGTTATTTTTAGTCTAGGGCAGTATTACAGCCACGAAGCATGTTACTACCATGTTAAGACTAATCCATCAAATCAATATTATATGAGGAACCTGCTGCTATGGACTATAGGGAGAATGAACTAGCCCAACCTCTTCCCTGTACAAAAGGTCAGCAGCTGTTACCTGAACATGGAAGAGATAGACCAATCTTGCAAGATTTAAATGTGCACATGCCCACTTTCAAAGGTTAAGACAAAGGCATCTACCCTGATGCTGTTCCCACAAAAAAAATACCAGTCTCAGGTTCTTAACTATAGTCCATGGTTCTTCCATAAGTTCTGGACTGAATCTCAGGATCATCATTCAGGATTCATCAAACTCATTTTTTATAATTAACTAGAGGCCGGGTGCATGGATTCATGCACCGGTGGGGTCCCTCGGCCTGGCCTCCGCCCTCTCACAATACGGGACACCACCAATGCATGGTTGGGGCTGGGGAGGGACCGTGGGAGGGCTCCAGGGTGTGTTCAGCCCATTTCAGGGGCTGATAGGGCCAGGGAGGGACTGCAGGAGGTTGGCCGTCTGGGAGGGACTGTGGGAGGGCTACAGGGCATATCTGGCCCATCTTGCCCAGTCCTGATCTGCTGGACCCCGGCAGCGAGCTAACCTACCGGTTGGAGTGTCTGCCCCCTGGTGGTCAGTGCACATAATAGCTACCGGTCATTCGGTTGAACAGTCACTTAAGCTTTTATATATATACTAGAGGCCCGGTGCACAAAAATTTGTGCACTCGGGGGGGGGGGGGGGGCCCTCAGCCCAGCCTGCACCCTCTCCAATCTGGGACCCCTTAGGGGATGTCCAACTGCCGGGTTAGGCCTGATCCA